GTCAGAGATAGTGCGATTGGCACAGGACAGAGCAGAGTTTAGGGCTTTTGTACATAGGGTCGCTATGAGTCACAAGAGACTCGCCGGCACTTAACAACAATAGAAAAAGAAAGAAAAGCTATTCGATACCCACACCTACATGCAAATAATAAAGCAAAGAAGAAATATAAAAGTAATTACTTTTCTGCACCTGGTCATAGTTGGTTTTTAGAATGCTTTCTCCTCAGCCCAAACCATATTCCCTTGGCTCTCAGCCAGCACTTCCATTCATCAAAGTTCTCTGCCTTGTAGGGTGACCAAAATCCTCACTCCTGAAGGGTGTGGGTGATTAGCAGTCATGTTGCAACTGTTTTTCTGTAGTTTTCCACTGATTTTAACCACTTAACAGAGTAGTACTAAGAGATATTCCATGTCTCCTTTATTCTAGGCATAGTCTTTTTTATTTCCATCATCACATAGTATCAATCCAGTTTTAGCCAATATAGTAATTTCCTCTTTTGCCTGTTTATCCAGAAGCATGAGATGACAAAAATGATCAAGTGGCATTCTTAACTTCCAGTTGTATGGCATCTATGTTGTGGCCCCAGTTGTAGCATTCTTCCCTTGGAATGAAGACCTCCAGGCCCACAGAGCACAGGGTAGGGGGGAAAGAAGGCAAAAATTTTGCGAGTTGGTCATTAAGGATAACAGTGAGTGGTATATTCCAATTTTTAATTTTCAATTCATGGATGGATAAATCCTGGCTATAAGAAAAGCAGCACTATACACTGAATGGTTGTTTTAGAGAATATACAATCTCCTAGAGAATATTTTCACAGCCCTGCAAGGTTTTGCCACCTAGATGAGGCCATACTTATGTATTTAGAAGGCCATTCCATCGTTCTATAACGATAGCTGTGATAGGTTGATGAGAAATTCTATGAGCTTGGCCTCACTGCCACACTTCAACCACTGTGAAGTGAATTCCTTGACCTGAAGCACTGCCGTATGGGATGTATCATAGCAATAGATAAGGCATTCTGTAAGTCCACAAATGACAGCTTTTGCAGAAGCACTGCCTTGAAGGAAGGCCAATCTATACCCTACTGTTGTTGTTATGTACCATCAAGTAAAAAACGACCCATAGCTGACCCTCCAGTGGGTTTTCAGAGGCAGTAAATCACAGGAGAGGAGACCTCTCCTCTTTCTCCAACAGAGCAGCTGGTGGATTTGAATTGTGTGTCTTCAGGTTGGCAGGACAGCTCCTTCCCATGAGGCCATCAGATATTCTGAGTAAGTATCTTAGTCAAGTAAGAACAAAATGCCGCCCTTTCCATGATGGAAGAAGTCCAGTGAAATCAACTTGCCATCAAGTTGTTGGCCAATCACTCCTTGGAATGGTGCCATATTGGAACTCAGTGTTGGTCTTTGCTGCCAGCAGATTAAGGACTTGCCAGTGTCTGTAGCCAAGTTGGCATTGGTGAATAAAAGTCCATGTAGCTGAGCCCATGTGTAATCTCTGTCCCTGACATTGTGGCCACTTATTTGGGCAATGACAAGAATGACTAAGAAAAGGGCTTGACTCTATCCATGGACCACAATATTCAATCTAATTATAAATATTCAATCTAACTGTTAAAATCTTCCTCTGCTGATGCCATCATTTTGGGAGCATTCATATGAGAAAACAAACACCTTAATTTCTTGGGCGCATTCAGAGAGATCAACCTACATACTTTTCTCCCATACCTTCTTGTCATCAATTTTCCAATCAGTTTCTTTCAAGTCCCTGACCATCCATCCAAATCGCTCCATTAGTTAGCACACAGTCACACTATCTCTTTGGAAGCAAAATGAATAACCAAGTGCACTGCTTAAAGTTCAGCCCATGAAGAGAATTTCCTTTACCACCGTCCCTCAGGGAGACCCCAGAAAGGCATTACAGTGCTATTGCGTTCCACCTGAGTGAAGCCTAGGTATTGTGCAGAACCACTTGCAAACCTGGAGCAAGCTTCCTCTTCTTCAGTTAAAAATACTATAAGGAACTTCCTATGAGGTCATAGGTAGAGAGTGAGAAGAAGGTAATGTGACAAGGGTGGAGACCAAGAGCATTTAAGCCACTTCCTCACGTAGCCTAATGGTGCCTTCAGGTTCTTCTGAAGCCTGATCTGTTATTTAATAATGCAGTGCTGCTATGTGAGTCCCACTTTATGACTCTGTGGGTCAGATAAAACCCGAGTTCACAATAGGCAGTTTAGACAGTAGACACTTCTGGCAGTGAAGTAGAGTCCTTCCTCAACCACCCTTTCATTCAAGGGTTTTTGGGTCTGTAAATTGGCTGAGAATTGATTGAGGAGCTGTGACTCTACCTTGTGATTCAAGTTAGATTGCTGTTCACTTGACCTAGAAATCTCCTGTTTGTATAGATTAAACATTTTCCCCTTAGGGACCAACACAAGCAGCCAATTCCATAAATTAATAAACACAGAGGATAGGGCAAGGTTCAGATGTGTTGTTCAGGCAGTCACTATTAGTTGTAGTCAACTTGTTGGCACCTACAATGTCATGACTGTGGTTTTAACTCTTCTGTCCATTTTTAACAGCCATGCCCTTGTCTTTAGTGATTAAGTGCTGCCACTTGACCCCAAGCACGAAGTCCAGTCAGCCCCACTGTCATTGGGTGTCTAATTCAGTTAAGGCAGTCTCCACTGCTAAATCTCACTTACAAGAAACAACAATCACAGCCATCTTCAAGAATTCTGAAGACGCCCTTCACACCTTTGTTCCTCATTGAAGTGGTGAAAGGTGTGTTCAGGTCCAACCTGATCCATCATAACAGGAAAACTGCCTAAGCCTTGGGATGCTTTCTTCTACAGTATACAAAGGCAGGTGTGGCTTCTCAACTTGATTTTAATGTTGGCCACCTCTTAATGCATGCTTCAGTGAACCAACCAGATCTTTTTCTAACCTTTTGAACTGAAACAATGAAGAGTTTTTGCTTAATGAGCCCTTATCAATAAATTCATACTGTTCCAACTTTATGTTCCTTGCACTATTATCCCATACCCATAATAGCCTTTCCAATATTTATATTCCTGAGCTATCTGGTAGTCTATATCAGAAAAACCATGCATTTGTTTTAGAATGTAGCATGGCATGGCTTCTTCTGGTGACACTTTGAACTTGACCTCTTGGTCTCACTGGGATTTAGGTCTAATTAAAGATAAGTGGTAGGGGTGAATACAGAAGCTCTTCAAATGGAGGCCTCTCTCATCTCACATGGTTTCAACATTTGACAAACCCCAAGCCAGCAGGTGAGATGACAACCAGCCGGTTGGTTTATATCCCAGGAACCAGAGGTCAGAGAATGACAAGTCTGATGCAAGATCCAAAGAAAGCGAATTGTGCCAGACGAGCCATATATACAGGATATAAACCACATGCCCAAGGAAACTCCTCTAACAACTGATTTGATGTTCACATTAAATCACAAAGCGGAGAATTATACACCATATCTGCCAAGCCACTGCCAAACTGACATAAAATCTTCATCGCCACAAAGCAGAGGAATTGATGTTGAAAAGCCAACTAGGGTCAGTGATGAAGGGTCTTGTACGCCATTCTAAAACTTTAGGCTGTAGACCACGGAGGACTACTGACAAACTCTAAGTAGAAGAGGCATGCCACTGGACTTGCCTTTTAGATCGGCTGCTCTCAATAGTAAGAAGTAGAATATATTTGGATGGGATGAGACAAAGGTATCAAAGTTAGTCTGGAAAATGTTAAATCTCATGGACAACAAACCAAAAAGTTCTAAGGGTTTGAACTAAATAAAGTAGTAGCAATAACTGGTGAGACCGTAAAGAAGCAGAATGAACCTGGGGGGATGAGAAGGTCGAGAATAAGGAATCCAGAGTGATTCCAAGGATGAAGATTCCATTTACAGAGTTGGAGAAAAACAGGCATGTGAGGGAAAGTTTCAAGTCTGGTCACGTTTTACTAGGAAACCTGCAAGACATCTAGGTGAAACTGTCCAGCAAGTCCTAGTTTGGAGCTGATGGTTAGAGTAGGTGCTACAACTAGATTTGGGTGTTTCTTGTATCTAGGTGGCAGCTCTACCCCATTTGCTCTTCTTTTTATAAGTCTTTGAGCCCATTTTCAACTCATAATGACCCCATGTGACAGAGCAGACTGCCCCTAATAGAGTTTTCTCGGCTGTAATTTTTATGGGACCAGATTGCCAAGTCTTTCTCCCACACACTTACCGGGGGGCAGGGGTCTGAACTGACAACTTTTCCGTTTTCAGTTAACCATGGAGCCACTCAATTTCTTTCTCCTTTATTCCACCTACATTACTGAACTTGCTCTTCTCCATAAGTAGAAATACTTCCCATCCTTTAAGACCCAGGTTAAAAGCCATCCATTTAAGGTTCCTTCCCTAAGTTAGTCTCTGTAAATGACACCTCCTACTGTCTTCTTTCATTCATTGTTTCCCATCCTTTTTCATGCATGGATATGTATCTAACCAATTAGAGCTCTGTATTTTCTCATTTCTCCACAGCTCTCAGCATGTGGTAGCAGGTATACAATGCATTTAAAAACTATTGATTCTAATCCCAAATTGATCATGCTGAAGCAAATAGGAAGAATCACTTGCAAGGATCCCAAGACTAGAAATATTCTGGGTGCCTGTATTTTGTTCAGAGAGGAGCCCTGGTAATGCAGTAGTTAAGCTCAGCTGCTAACCAAAAGATTGGTAATTCAAACCCAGCAGACACTCCACAGGAAAAAGATGTGGCAGTCTGATTTCATAAAGATTACTGCTTTGGTCAACTACGAGGAGGTCCTATGGGGTGCTATGAATTGGAGTCCAAAGAATCTGGACTTTGCTCAAAGATTTTAGCTCACTTCTAACATTACCAGGTGAGCTGGAATCTTGTGTTTTACAGGGGCCAGGTTATGGTGGGTAATGGAGGTTGGGGTCTCCCAGCAACTTAATTGCACCTTCTGTCTCTCTGTAGGAAAGTATGGTTTCTGTCCTTGCTGCTTATTGGCTTCTGGAGCTATGCAACCTGCAACGTGAACCCCACGGTGGACATCTGCACAGCCAAGCCCCGGGACGTTCCTATGAACCCCATGTGCATTTACCGCTCTCCAGAGAAGAAGGCAGCTGAGGAGAGCCCAGAGCAGAAGATCCCCGAGGCCACCAACAGGCGGGTCTGGGAATTGACCAGGGCAAACTCTAACTTTGCCACTATATTCTATCAGCACCTGGCCAACTCCAAGAAAGACAATGACAACATTTTTCTGTCACCCCTGAGTATCTCCACAGCATTTGCTATGACTAAGCTGGGTGCCTGTAACAACACTCTCAAGCAGCTGATGGAGGTACAGTCAAGGCCCTTCTGCTCAGTCTAATGGCTTCACATTTTTCAATAGGTTGAGTGGCTCTTTTATTGTTGTTTAATAGTTCTTAATCCAACACTAAGGGAGCTCTGGTGGCCTAGTGGCAAGAAGCTGAGCTGCAATCCCGAAGGCAAGTGGTTCAAGGTCACCAGCTGCTCTGCAGGAGAAAGACGGAGAGCTTCCTCCCATGTAATTAACAGGCCCTGAAAACCTGCTGGAGGGTCAGCTATGGGTTGGTACACACTAGGGTACACAAAATAACAACACTATCCAACACTAAAGCTCACTAGGGAGCTATTGTTGTTGTTGAACTGGAATGAACCCATAGCTGACATTCCAGGGGATTTTCAGAGGCAGTTAATCACACAGAAGGAGAGTGCCCTTCTTTCTCCCAAGGAGCAACTGGTGGACTCGAACTGTGTGCCTTCAGCATTGCAATGCAGCTTCTTGCCACAGGCCACTAGAGCTGCCTACAGGGAGCTCATTACGAAGTATAATTTCCTTTGAAAGCTTTTTATTCTTTAAATTAGGTAAAAAAATGCCACCTGGATTTCTGCTATTTAATTTGAGTTTCTTCTTTTGGGCTGCCTTAAAGTGGGAAGAACTATATTTTGCCCTACTTTTCCTTTTCATTTACATGTTTATTGATTTATTGGGTCATCTGCAGATTTATTCATTCAACATGTCTTCTGTACCAAACATTGTGCTGGGTGGTGGAGAGTCCCCGTTCTTGCCTGGAGGAACTTACCTAGGGTGCTCAGGCATACCAGCTCTTGGATGACAATTCTAGGACCATGCATTGAGATCCAGGCTTCAGGGAAAGGATACGAGCCTCTCCTGGCTCTATAGTACTGTACTGATTGCTTCAGGGCAGCGGTTTAGTTTTGTCTGTTTTTTTGTGAAGGAGCAGTGGTGGAAGAGAAAAAAAGAAAAATCAAGGATTAAACACCACTGATTGTATTAGAAGTCATAGGAACACTAGACCATTAGATTGCCTTTGGCGTGGGAGTGTGACTGACTTTGTTTATGCCTGATCATAGCCAAGAGCAAAGATAATCACAGATAATCAATAGGTACAATGGACTTCCTACCCCTAAATGTGCTATATAGTGTTTACTTGAATTCCAGACCCTAGAATCTGTACATTTTGGAGGGCTTCCCTCTATCTTAGTGGCCTATTTCCATTAAGTTTCATCATTTCTTTGGTGCCTCCTAGGATGGATTAACCCAAGCTTTTGATCCACCAAAAACCCTGTCACTTTAGAGACAATTCTTTAGAGATACAGTATTTCCTTCTCTGGACCTTTCACTAAACTACATATACACTGGTATTGGCACTGGTCATGAAGCTTTCTCACATCTTTCATGTTTTTGTTCCCAAGAGAGATCTTAAATGTAACCCTTTCTTTAAGGACAGAAGTAGAACAGTATTTGAAACCAAGCATGTCCTGTAGGTTCTTCTATTCTATTAAAAGAGGAGCAAGATATGTTGGAAACGTGGGGTAAGAATGAGATGGAACAAAGAAATGGAACACCATGCTTTAAGGTATTATCCTAAAAGAATTACAAACTGGGGGGACATTGAGAAAATCAAAGACAGAAGAAATAAAGCCAAAGACTTCTTCTGAGTGTGGAAGACAGAAAAAAAGAGGAAAGACCGCATTCATTTTGCCTTGGCTGGTGATGGTGGGGGATGACCATTTCATGTCAACTAACATGATCATTAAATCTTTTTCAAACATAAAACTCTTAGATTCTGTTCTGTTTAACAATTTACTGATAGGATAACTCTTTTTATTTCCCATCCCTACCAGCAGCAACCCAGAACGTCCCTGAGGGTGGCTCCAGGGGTGGGCCTGGAAGCACTTGTTCTCGAGAGGCCATTGTCCCTGTTTTCTCTTTGCCCAGAGCCACCAACATCACTTTTCCCATTCCAGCAAGAAAACATCCAGGTGTGAATGGAGAGTCCTTTAGAGACATTCTGTCATATCACAGATAATCTTCCCCACTTCCCCCTTCCATTCATTCATTCATTCATTCATTCATCATTCATTCTTTTAAAAATGAGCTAAGCATTAAAGCTGTGCTATGTACCAAGGTTAGAGGAACTCACAGCTGAGGTAGCTGTAGGTCAGACTGTTGTTTTTAAGTGCCGTCGACTCATGGAGACCCTATGAATGAAAGATTTGAACACATGTATAACTTTCATCGTTTCTGCAAGTTCATAGGGTTTCCGGAGGCAAGCTATTTCGGAAGTGGATGCCACTCCTGCTTCCAAGCTTGTTTTAATCGGGGAGCGCCACAAAACACTGTCCACCATAGGTAACAATTATCACATTTGCCACATCAGTGTCACAGTGTTTAGCATCACAGCAACCACGAGTTACCTCTGTACAGCAAGTGGACAGACCAGTGCTATACTGCTTAGAGGAATGTTTGACCAAAAACAATTAAAACTAGGCCTGAGGGATTAAAACTAGGCCTGAGGGCCGTAGAGTAAAATCACCCACCTTTGGCTTAGTAGCATAACTTCCTATCTACTAGGCCAACAGAGCTCTCTCTAAGACTCATGCAATTCTATGAATAATAGGTCTAACCCTTATCCTATCCTACGTCATCATCTCCACAATCTGAGACACATTTGAGCCCACTGCTACAGTCACCATATCAATCTATTACATTGAGGATCTTCTCTTCTCTGACCTTCTCTTCTCTGACTTCTCTCAGCATGATGTCATTTCCCAAGGAGTAGAGCCTTAAACTGTTGTTAAGTGTTGTCAAGTCCGACTCATAGTGACCCTCTGAATGAAAGACCTGAACACTTTGTATAACTCTCATAGTTTCTCCAAGTTCATAGCCTTTCCGGAGGCAAGCTATTATGGAATTGGATGCTACTCCTGCTTCTAAGCTTGTTTTAGTCAGGGAGCTCCACCAAACACTGTCCACCATGGGTAACCATTATCGCATTTGACTCATCTGTGTCACAGTGTTTAGTATCACAGCAACCATGAGTTACCTCTGTATAGTAAATTGTAATGACTGGTTTTAGTTTCATCCCTCATGTTACTCAAGCTGTCCTATGTACCCACTGCCATTTTGTTTGACTTCCATAGGTGTTTAAGTTTGATACCATCTCCGAGAAAACATCTGATCAGATCCACTTCTTCTTTGCCAAACTGAATTGCCGACTCTATCGAAAAGCCAACAAATCCTCTGAGTTGGTATCTGCCAATCGCCTTTTTGGAGAGAAATCTCTCATCTTTAATGAAACCTACCAGGACATCAGTGAGTTGGTATATGGAGCCAAGCTCCAGCCCCTGGACTTCCAGGTAAGTTGCAGATCTCATCCTTGACTTCTGTTCTTTCTTCCCACTAAAAAATGGAGGATATGGAGAAGCAAAGTCTAAATGAGCATTTCTGTGCTATTGGAGTCCTGGTAAGAGGAGAAGGTACACACTAGAGCCCATGGAATACTTAGTAAGAACATGAGGAATCAATGGCATCTATGGCTTGGGTTTGGCAGAGGGTCAATGAAAATGAGGAAAACCCTCAATGAGACAGATTGATACTATATCCTCAACAATGAGTTCAAACATGTTAAAAGATCATGGAGCTTGGAGCAAGACTGAAGAACAATTCATTTTATTATACATAAGGTTGCCATCAGTAGGGGTCAACCAAATGGCAACTAATAATATGGCTCACATGGCTCTGAATAAGTAAAATAAAGAATAATTCTTCAAGGTATTGTCCAAATTCAAATATATACTAAAGGACATTCTGAGAATTCAAGTCCTGTAGATACTTCATTTAATGTAATTAAATTATAAAGAGCTACCATGGTCAAATAAAACTGGTGTATGCGGCATTTTGTATTCTCCTCTTGGAGATTCATAAAACACCTGAGGTTTTTAAGGGTTCTGAGAAGTCTACAGTAAAGAAACATGTTAACTTTTTTTGATCAGCATTTTCCAAGCTAACAGGACCATATGGGTCTTCCCTCCCCACACCCGCTCCCACCTATATTACTCATCAGTTGCCCATGAAACATATTTGAAATCTCCAGTGAGTTGAAGTTTTCCAAAGTCAGAGAAAATAGTAGCTTATCTTCTTTTTATCAAACTATCTTCTTTTTTCTATTTTGTTTATTGATTCCTATTTCCCTATATTTTCCTTTTCTTCTCTATTATTAACAAATATTATCTATATAGAAGGTTCATGGCACTATACTATTTATTTTTGTGAACTTTTCTTAGTTTGGATTCTAGTGATGACTTCTTAATCTAGTGGTTGGAAAGGTCAGAGGGCTTACAAACAAAATAAAATTGTGCATGGGTAAGTGGAGAAATGAATTGAATAGCACATGAGTAGGTTTATTTTCTGTTCACCTCAGGGAAATGCAGAGCAGTCCAGGGTGACCATCAACAACTGGGTGGCCAATAAGACTGAAGGGCGCATCACTGACGTCATCCCTCCAGAAGCCATCAATGAGCTCACTGTCCTGGTGCTGGTTAACACCATTTACTTCAAGGTATTCCCAATAGCCTAGAGACACACAGGGGATTTCCTCCAAACTCTCAGCCCACCTGGGTGTATGCTGGTAGAGTCATTCTGAGAAATGGTTCATGCATGGCCTGGACAAGCAAGGCAAGTCTGCCAAGAGTCCATAACCCACAGATGGGATGCTGCACGCATGGTACACACATGGTACATAGAGTATACACACTTACAAACCCTGCACACAAGGTATGTGTGGTGGGTGGTAAACTCACACGAGTATGCGAGTATGTGGTCATTTCTGATGTCTGCTTAACTCTGTTTTCACATTTGGAACAAAATGAGAGTCTACTGGCCCTGCTGAGATTTCATCCATCATCTGGAACAACTTGTAGAGACATTCAAAGGCTCCTTGCTCTGAAGGGTCTGAAACCTCCAGGGATCAGGCTCACTTCTGACTTAGCACAGACCCATAATTGGACTCTGCAGATGGACTCATCTTCCCTAACAGGTCAAGAATTTCTCAAGCTTGATTTCATCTGGGAAGAGGGCTAAAGAAATGGCAGGCAGTGCTAAGAAGAAAAAAAAAGAGGGCTCCAACTTAAAGCAGATGGAAAGTGTGGCCCATTTGCCCAGTCTGAGACATGCTCCATTTTTCCTTCTCCTATTGCCCCAGGAATGTAGTAAGTTACTGCTCCTGCCAACAACATCATGTCTTGGGGCTCCCTCTCCTCAAGAACCTGGTATGTTGCAGTTCCAACATGTGTTCCATATGTTATTACAGTTAACAGGAAAACTTTAGCATGTTAGTCCTCTTGATCCTCACAATCTCACAAGTAAGATCGTGGACCCCGTAGACTGATGACCCAGTTTCACTCCTGATTTGTCCATGTTATGACTGTGTGAACTTGGGATAAGCTATCTGAGCCTTTACTGGCCCATTTTGTGCATCTACAAGATAGTGATGATGAGAAAACTACCGTGTAGAGTTGCAAAGAGGATTGCATTTTAAGTTGTATTGTTAAGTTATTGCAAATAAAATTAAAAGTTATTGAATAAGTTCTTGCATTGCTTAGAGCAGTGCCTGTTATATACTGAAACCCAAACTCAGTATGAGTGAATAGATTCCAATTCAAAGTGAACCTGTAGGGCACAGGAGAACTGCCCTTCAGCATTTCCAAGGCTGCTCTAAATCTTTGTAGAAGCACACTGCCTCGTCGTTCTTCTGAAGAGCAGCTAGTGGGTTTGAACTGCCAACTTTCGGTTAACAGCTGAATACCTTATTCACAATGTCACTAGAGCGTCACAGTACACACTAAGCACTCCATAAATATTAGCCGTCTGTAGCTTCTACTTTTACAGATGAATAACTTGCAGAGGCGTTAAATAACTTATTGCCAAGTCAAATAGCTAGAAAATAAGAAGAAATGAGAATTTCAAAAGTGTACCTTGTATCTCAGGAGGTCAGCCGGTCTTACCATCTGCTTGACAGGTCTTTAGATGACCTTTGGGGAGTGTCACCTGCTTTGGGCCTCTATTCTTCTGGTGCACTTTGCACGCTGGCTCTTGAGGAAGATGTGGGCAGAAAGCAAAAGAAAATTAGATTTAAATTTAAGAAGAGATTTTCCAGGCTTTTAAAAAAATATTTCCACAGTTTTAAAATATTTCTGATTATAAAAGCAAATAGCAGGGAGCTCTGGTGGCCTAGTGGCAAGAAGCTGCACTGCAATCTCAGAGGTGTGCGGTTGGGATCCACCAGATGCTCTGCTGCAGAAAGAGGGGCCATCTCCTCCTGTACCAGTCAGATCTGATTTGACGGTATACACAAAAAATAATAAAACAAACAAACAAAAAAAACCCCAAAAAGCAAATAGTCACTTTTGAAAATCTAGGAAATATATGATAGTACACAGAAAAAAGAACTCACTCATAATTCCACCATGCTGACACATTGTTAATCCTTTTGTGTATATTTTTTCAGTCTTTATGAATCTCTACCTATCTGTGTGTAGTAATATCAAGTATTTCCCATATCCTTAAATATTTCCCCATAGATGTTTTTTGTTCTTGTTTTGCACTTCTCTCGCCTGTCCTCTTTGTCTAGGGCCTGTGGAAGTCTAAGTTCAGCTCTGAGAACACCCGGAAGGAAGTGTTTCACAAGGCTGATGGGGAGACATGTACGGTGTCCATGATGTACCAGGAAGGCAAGTTCCGCTATCGGCGTGTGGCTGAAGGTACCCAGGTGCTCGAGTTGCCTTTCAAGGGTGATGACATCACCATGGTGCTCATCTTGCCCAAGCCTGAGAAGAGCCTGAGCAAAGTAGAGCAGGAACTCACCTTGGAGGTGCAGCAGGAGTGGCTGGATGGACTTGAGGATACGATGCTGGTGGTCCACATGCCCCGCTTCCGTATAGAGGACAACTTCAGTGTGAAAGAAAAGTTGCAGGACATGGGCCTTGTGGACCTCTTCACCTCTGAAAAGGCCAAGCTCCCAGGTTAGTGCAGGATGGACTTTGCTGCTCTCTCTGTCCCCACGTTGTCCCATGTTGTCTGACCAAAGGTAGAAAGAACAAGTCATTGTGTACTGCCTAGTCTGAACCATAACTGACCCTCCAGCAGGTTTTCAGTGGCAGTTAATCACACAGGAGGAGACTGCCCATCATTCTCCTAATGGAATGTCTGGGGGTCTTGAACCAAAGTCTGAATTCATAGTGCTGGCTCGAAAGGAAGGCAGTTTCTGTCTGGAGGAAGGTTCTTGTGTTCTTACAGCAGCCGTAGGCCAGCATTTCTTGGAGATCTCGAAGACGTGGCCTTCTTCCATGGCCCAAAGGACACACTCCACTTACGGCTCTTACTTCTTAGTGAGACTGGTACAAGGGTCCTATCCCCTCTGCTCATCTCACGTTCTCTCCTTTTCTCTCTTGTAAGATAAAAGATATTGTAAGTCATATCCCAGGGAAACTCCACTTACATAGGATCTGAGCTGTAACAGAATTAAAGCTGTTGCCTCCCACCCTTAATCCTCTCACATCTGATTGTCTTATCAGATCAAGGGGTATCACTACATAACTGCCATATTATTCAAAATAATGAAGCACAGTTCAGACAAGTGGACATATATTTTGGGGAGACAAAAATTCAATCCAGGATACTAAATTTAACATTGTACATTATTCCTGTCAAAGAATAGTCTTTGATTTTATTCACTCTTCTTTGTTCTGAATTGGCAGAGACCAATCATTGCAAAATAGATGCCCGTTTACAAAGCTAGTTCATTCTCTTAGTTACATATTAAAATTTTACTACATTAGGTGAGGGTTCAGGATTTCCCCCTATTTTTCATTAAATAAAGACCTTTTAGTTAAAATGAAATTCCTTTTGGTGGGTTAGTTGAAGCAACTTTTCTCCATTTCATTGAGCCTTCTCTGGTCTTCCCTCCAGGTGTCGTTGCGGGAGGCCGGGATGACCTCTATGTCTCAGATGCATTCCATAAGGCATTTATTGAGGTAAGTACACTTTTGCTTTCTTCCTATGCTGCTTTTCTGTCACTTTATTATTCAATACATCAGTATCTTAAGCAATTTAGCTCCACTGAATTAGATGGTATAAAGATAGTAGGCACACAAACAACAGATGTCAGTGTGGCAAAGGGCATATTTCCATGTCCCTTAATCCTCAAATTTGTCACGATTTCTCTCTCCTGGAGCCTGATATAGTATATCTCTCAGGTACTCCAACTGTTCAACCTCTCACATCTCCTTCACCAGGGCAAGAATCAGAAGAGAACTTCTTAGGGCTGGATCTGTGGGAAACAATGATTACCTTAGGATGGATAGCACAAAGAAAAAAGGGAGTTAAACCACTGAGAAAGAATTTAGAGGAAGAGGAAATGCATAGATTCATGAAAATTCTGGAAGAGATACCAAGAAAATGTGAAGCACTTAACAAGCTGATTGAAAAGCAAACATGTTGTAGCTCTCCTTGAAGAATTCAGAGTAGTGGGGCACACGTCTAACTGTAATAGCTGAAGAAGAAATGCAAATTAAGGAAGGGTAAGGTTGTCTGTGGATTATTTGCCATAAAATGGGTTCCAGAGAACGAGTGCATTGGATACATTAGAGAAAATCTATATAGTTATGTGATCAACACATTTGTGGACTTTTCTTGGGAATATTAAACTGAAGAAAGTGAAGTAGTACTCTAAAACTGTGAGAAAAATTGTCGAATATTGCTAAAAGGGAGCTCAGGTGGCCCTAGTAAGTAGAGATGCGCTGCCTAAATGCAGGTGGTTCAAATCTACCAAGTGCTCTGAGGGAGCGAAAATATGCAATCTTCTCATGTGGTTCACAACCTCTAAAGACCTGCTGGAGGGTCATTTGTGAGTTGGCTCTGACTCGATGGCAATGAGTTGAGTTTGTTGAAACCCACTAAATAGTGACCCAAAGATGTCTCTGTGAAACTTGGAACAAGTTTTTCTTCAGAACCAAATACATGAGACCACAAATAATTCTAAGTCTGGGAAGCCTTTATAAACCAGATCCTGGTGTGAATGAAAGGATTCTGGCTGGTTATGTGAAAGTTCTACTCTTCTGATATGTTTAATCCTAAAATGATTTCCTATTTCCCACTTATACTACTTGAAATAGGTGGGGAGGCAAGAGATAAAAAGGGAGAAAAAGAGATGGGGGAGGTAAGAAGGAGAGAAAGACATGATTGCACAACTTTACAAAACTAAACTCAGAAGTGTTTTCACTTAGATCCCAGGACAGAGTTTAGTGTTATTCTGGGTCCCTAAGCAAAATTTTCTTAAGACCTCTCTCAAGATTTGTGGTGCTTCTGCTTATTAGTAAAGTTCAAAGAGCAGTGTTCTTGGCTCTTAGTCCATGAACTGTTTACCTCATATAGCCAGAGAATCCTCCTCTTTGCATAGGCACTAGGTAGCTGTGTAGAGGTTGTTACACCTGGGATTATTTCAACTCTAAGAATAAAATGATGGAGCTCTGATTTCAAGTTAATTTATCTTTTTAGCAGCTGGTATAAAAGAATTCTAACACCATGTATAATGGTGCCAGCCATAAATGTGACAACTCTATGAACATCCAGATTTCCTGTTCAGGGGTTGTGTGAATTGAGCCCTTGTACTTATTATCTAGCCTAAGGCTTCAATTAACTCAAAAGCTTTCATCAAATCAATGGTTGAAGAGAAAGGGATACCGGCAAGGTCTTGCACGAACCCAATTGACTCTGTTGTTGTTGTTATGTGCCGTCGTTTGCGACTCATAGTGACCCTATGTACAACAGCCCTAAACCCTGCTCTATCCTGTGCCAATCTCATTGCCTCTGACACACCCATCCCGATTACCCCAGCCACTGAATCAATCCACCGCATAGAGGGTCTTCCCCTCCTGCACTGTCCCTCCACTCTGCCCAGCATGATGTCCCTCTCCAAAGACCTGTCTCTCCTTACATGTCCAAAGTATGTCAGGCAAAGACCCAGAATCCTTGCCTCCAAGGAGCAGCCTGGTTTAACCCTCTCTAGGATGAATCTATGTGTTTTCTCCCAGCATTTTGAGGAATTTGTGTGTCTGTAGATGATTTACCTACGTATAGTGAACTGCAGAGTCATTAATGCAGCCGTTTTGTTTCCTCTGTAACTGCAGGTAAACGAGGAAGGCAGTGAAGCAGCAGCAAGCACGGCCATCGGGATTGCTGGTCGTTCGCTGAACCCCAGCAGGGTGACTTTCAAAGCCAATAGGCCCTTCTTGGTTTTAATAAGGGAAGTTGCTTTGAACACTATTATCTTCATGGGCAGAGTGGCCAACCCTTGTGTTAACTAGTGTTCTCATTCTTTGCATTTCTTCCTATTTGGTCTGTGAACAGAAGTAAACAGAAATAAAACTACTACCAACTCAATTATGAATGGGACAGTGCTGCTTAAAAGTCAAATAAGGAAAAACAAGAATGGTGTTACTATTGGGGCATTACTATTGGTGGAATGATGCTCCTCTGTGCGACTTATTGCCTCCAAAAACCAGCTGGAGGGTCAGCTATGAGGTTCTGTCACCTACCACCACCAGTGAACATATGTGGATCAAGAATGTGAATAAAGTAGATAAGTCTTCACCCTGATAGTCAGTATCCTGAATGATCGATCAGAGGAGCCAAAATTCTATCATTATTTCTATCACACATCAAACAAATTAATCTTTACATACAAAACACAGATTCAAATCTGAGTATTAAACCATTTAATTCTCAAACCACTCACATGCATAATGTTCTTTTACACAGTGTCAAAATAAAGAGAAAATGCATTTTTTAATACAAACAGAATTTCAAGTATACATTAATAGACTTTTCAGATTACTAACCAGGATGCTATCATTCACATTGTTCTTAAAGCTGTTCAACGAGAAAGCTTTTGCTAAACTGCTTTAAATATGTTTATATAAATCCTTATCTTCACTCTCTGAATCTCCCTCCCCCAACCCCAGCTCTCTGTCCACCCCAGCCCTCCCCCCTTCCCCGACACAACAGGGCTCTTGGGGCTCTAGGAGACATGCAACCCCACCAAGGACTATTGACTTGTCATCAGGGGAAGGACAGACTCTACAGGAGGAGAGAAGAAGTGCCAAATTAAGGGCAAGAACAAATTTGACATTTAGGAGACACAAATCAGGATCACTGGATACAGCATGTGCGTTTGCACTTGATTTGTTAACATTCCAACAGCCTCCCACCAAAAAAATTCAGAAGTTTCTGACAATTTGGTAGCTGAGAAGATACTCTTAAGATTGGTTATTTTCCCTAGTGAAACTTCCAAAATTGGGGCAGGCAATTTGAAAACACATTTTCATTTTGGTGGGTTTTTTTCCCCTCTGGCAGAGGGTAAGGGAGTTTAAAAATAGATGCTAGTATTTCTATGTTCACATTAAAGGAATTTGTTTAATTTGACATAGTCTGGCAAGAGTTCTTCCTCAATTCTCCTCCTGAAGTAATCTGGCTTCAGGGCCAGGAAAAGCCACTCTTTTTTTTTTCCTTCTTTTTCTTTTTTAGGAATTAAAGTGCATTTTTTTTAACCCAGAAAAAGGAATAGGGGAAAGTGGTGATTTACATTTAAGTGATAACGATTAAAAGGGGGTGTGTGAGAGAGAAAATCCTATCTGTATATATAGGTATACATAGTTAAGGTCATGATAAAACATATTCTCTAAGGAAGTAAGATGCACAGATCCAGTCCAGCCCCTTCAGTGGTGCAAGAGTGCTACACTGGTTCTCTGATTTTCCTCATGCATCTTTATTAATGGAGTAACTGCTTCACATGAAAGATACAAACCTTAAATGTTAGTTTTTATTTCATTTTTTCCCCTAAAGGGAAAAACAATTAAATTCTACCAGTTAAAAATACTCTATGCCATTCCCATTCAGGGATAACATTTTAGAAACTGATTGTCTGTTTAAATATATATCCTTCTTGATTAGCAAGTTGTGAAAAACATTGTTAGATTAATTTGTTGGTTACAAATATTATTACACTAAAAACTCACAAAGAGACGGGCACCGTTGATGCCTGCTATCCCCGCTTAGGGATACCCACTTAGGGGGGATAAAATTTTCCTATGATCTCGTCACTTGATAGCTACCACCAGAATTTTATCTTTCTTTTTCATTAGATGCTTCAATACTTCCTGGGGAGAAAACCCCAAGTGTTTTCAAAGGAAAAGCAAATGCTACATTTACTATATGAAAAAGTGATGGGCTCAAGATGAGAAAAGGGTCTTGTCCTGGATTCTGGCCTCTGAGTCCAGTGTGATCTGTTTTTCACAGTGACCAATGGGAAGGCACAGTGCCAGGGACAGGTAGATGGGGACAGCTGTCACCCATCATATAAGCACCATAGAAAACAGTTGGCTAGATTTCTTTCAGATAATGGCTATCTGAAAGAAACTAAGTTTCTGCTACATTGACTTTTCTGTCTTTGAACCCTCAGCCTTCTCCTCTCAGAGGCAGAGCGTGAATGGGTCCCACCCTGAAATTATGAGAAGCCAGGAAATCTAAGTGTTCTTCCAATGTACTTCTCTCTTTATTTATTTACGCTGAATTCAGAGTTCAATTTTATAGTTATATAAATGAAGGAAAAGCCACTGGCTTCTGACTAAACTGGCAGATTAATTTAAATTCTGCCATCAGATCACAAAATGATCTACAACAGCAAATATATAGATTAGAGCAGATGAAAGTTAATAGAATGAGACAAAATATTTTTATTTTACACTCAAGAAAAGAATGCTTTTCTTTTCTTGAGGGTAAAGAAAAGACTGGTGAAATTCAGACTTGGCTTGCTGTTTCGGATAGGGGTTTCTAGAGGTTTAAGAGATATCAGCAAACAGAAGTAGGGCAGAAGAACCTGGCTGAACTTCAGAATTCTGCTAGGAAGGAAGTTTAATTTTTTACTTAAAATAAAGTACACGGGTGTTTGTTTTTGTTTATATTTCTTTTACCATTACTTCTTCACCTTCTCCCTCCACTCTCTTCTCAAATATCTTAAAATCCAGAGCGGTATGATCTGCATTAAGTTCAAAACAAAAAGTTTCACAGTCCTCAGAATATTCTTCAGGATGAAAATCCTGCAGAGCTAGCGTCTCTTTCTGGATGCATACAAATCCCAAAGGCTATTATTGCTCCACCTAAGAGTAGGAAGCCTTCAGTGAAATTGCTAAGGCATAGAAGGCAATTCTGGTACTGCAGTATTTACATGCTAAGCAAACAGCCAGGCTTTTATGCTCAAAAAACAAACTGCTGTTAAGATGGTTTTGACACACAACAAAGCCCCATCGGACTTCCAAGGCTCTGAATTGTAACATGAGGAGACTGTCCACCTTTCTCCCTCAAACTGTTGGTGGATTCAAACTACTGCAGATGTACAACCTTTGGGCTAGCATTGCAACTCACTACAGACTACACCACCAAAGCCTTTATGTTATTTTAATGTTTACGACCCAGTGCTAAATTGAACATCTGTACCACCCTTTTCCTTGGCCTCCACTTTTTATTGTCACAAGCATCATCTATTTGAAGTTCAAATTATCAATTATTTGCAAACACATGAATGAACATTTCTACAGTTTCAAGAATTTTCTCAGAAGAATTCTTTCTCAGTAAAGAATTACACTTGAAGTTAACTCTTAAACACAAATTTATTAATTAGAGGCAGCTTGTTATTTTGAACAGTGATTTTCACTCCTTAAGAGTAATGGAACAATTCTCCCCTTTCTATATCCAGGATAAGATTGAAAAGCCAGATGAGAGACTCTGGAGTTTGGAACTGTGATGGCCACTAAAACATCTTTACTACCTGGATAGGGAGATAAGGAACCTCACTTACGGAATTACTGGGTTAGGCCTTTGACCCTCTGGAACAAAGATGTTTAAATGGCTCATTTCACATAAACTTCCTAAGTATTTAGTCTGTAGCTAGTGCATTTCACTCACTGAGAAATAACTAATGAAACATAAAAGCCATTTTATATTAAAATCTCAGAAGTCAGACTAAGAGATTTCATCTTGATCTCCTAAGACATGTTCCTTTTTTTCCCTCCAACAACTTTAACAACACTACCTGCTTATTTTTCAAATGGAAATCACTCTAGGGGAGTTTTGCTTTTAATAAGTTCAGATATTTTTCTAGAGTTAAGAAATGGCTACTTACATCACATATGCAAAGCAAAGAGTGTTCCAGAGACTGAACTTAGAAAATGAACTTTTGCTTACTTATGCATACCTCCTATCTGGTATAGAGAGGAAACTGGATGGATAGTAATATCGCTCTTGAGAATTATTCTGAAGATAGATATCCTTTACCATCAGAATCTTGGTCTAATAAAAACTTAATTTGGAGTCAATGCCTGGAATATCAGTAAAGATGTCTTGTATCAAAAAGAGAATGAAGACCACTAAGACAGTGATTTCTTGACCATGGCTGCATATTGGAATTGTCTGGGGAGCTTTTAAAAGCACAGCTGCACAGCAGACTAATTAAATCCCAAAGTCTTGGGGGTGGCTTCCTGGCATTTCCAAGTGTTCCATATGATTCTAATGTGTAGCTAAGATGGAAACCACTGATCTACGGAAACTGGTTTTGAAACAAAAATAATGAAGACCAGTGTTCATCAAAGGGAGCAGTGGTGGCCTAGCGGCAAGAAGCTGTGCTGCAATCCTGAAGGCACATGGTTCGAATCCACCAGCTGTTCTGTGGGAAAAGGATGGGCAATCTCCTCCCGTGTTCATCAAGTAAGAGCAAGGAAAAGTGAGATGCCATGGTTTTGTTCTAGACTGAGGGACTTAATATACCCCTCTGAAAGTATCAAGACAAACGAATGGCTAGAGAAGCTGTGGTATATTCGCACAATGGAATACTATGCTGCATTAAAAAACAAGGAACTCATGCAATATTATTCAAAATGGTTGACTCTGGAGAACATTATGCTGAGTGAAATATCCCAGTCACAAAAGGACAAATATTACATGATGCCACTGTTGTAGAATGGGACTGTCCTTGGGGTTAGGGAGAGAATGAGTAAGATGGGTTCAACAATGTATACTGCACTGAAACAGAGGAGGGAGAGAACCGTCTAAAAGAGAGATGTAACTGGGTATTTCTGTCATCACAGGAGACTAGAGCGGGGGCTGCATGGTGGAGGGGACCTGGGGGAGTGTTTGTAAAACAATGAAAGAATCTTTTCTTTTACTTTTCCATAATTTTTGGACTCATGTACTTATAACTTGTTAGTCAAATTTGTGTCTTCTAGGTTGTAACACCCCCATGATACATCTTGAAGGATATGTACATGTACAGCCAAGCACAATCAATAAGAGTGCATCTGAATTCCAAAATCAATCTCCATAATAGTCTATGT